TCTTGACAATCATATCATCAATATATGCCTCGACGTTTCTCCCAATCTGATCAAAGAACACTGTGTTTATCATTCGTTGGAAGGTAGCCGGGGCATTCTTAAGACCAAACGGCATGACCGTGTAACAGTATAACCCCTGATCAGTGACGAAGGCCGTCTTCTCCTGATCTTTCTTCCATAAGGGAATTTGATGGAAACCAGAATAGGCGTCCATAAAACTCATCAAGGCATGACCCGCTGTTGAGTCGACCAGGTTATCAATTTTAGGCAGAGGGTAACTGTCTTTGGGGCACGCCTTGTTTAAGTCTGTGTAGTCTACACACATTCGCCAGGTGCCATTCGGCTTTTTAACAAGCACCACATTTGCAACCCAGTCTGGGAAGTAACATTGCCGAATGAACCCTGCATCAAGTAATTTTTTAACTTCGGCGGCTGCCGCCTGACTTCTTTCTTCGCCATGGTTCCGCTTCTTTTGCCGTACCGGCTTCTTTTTCGGATCCACAGCGAGTTTATGTACTGCCAGATCAGGACTAATGCCTGGCATTTCATGGACTTCAAATGCAAAGATGTCCTTGTATTCTTTCAATAGGTTGTGAAAGTCGTCACCAAGGTTTCTCAGAGCAGTCGTCCCAACTTTGACTGTTCGGTCAGGACGTGAGTCGTCTAAGATCAGGTCCGCATGCTCACCAGCCGGCTGAGGGCGGAACTCATCCGACCGCTCCTCTGCCAATGATTGCTATTTTCTTGCTTTTCTTGCGGACTCTGTCTGGGACGCCTTTCTCTTTTTGTCGCCTGTTTCTTGAACAGGCGCACTCTCCTTGACATTGTCAAGGTCTGTTTTTTCTCCACTTGACCCAGTGGCCATAACAGTGGGCTTGACATCCGAGAGATAGCACTCTCGGGCCATCCTCTGATCTCCCCTTAGGGAGCCGACTGTTCCATTATCCCTCTCAAACTTAAGCAGCATAAGAGACGGGATTATAACAGCCTTGGAATTATTCAGGGTTGGTCGACCCAGAATCATGTTGTAGGCCGAGAGTTCCTCTACTACTAGGAACCGGACTACCATGTGTCGTCCTTCCCCTTTTTCGCCCAGGCGAATGGGTAAATCTACTCGTCCCAGTGGGTGGACGACTCCTCCTCCAAACCCTATTAAAGGGTGGGAGGCCGGATGTATGCAGTCCGTCTGATATTTCAGTTTTGACAGACATTTGCTGCTGATGAGATCTGAGGAGCTCCCGGTATCTATGAGTATTCGGCCAACTCTTTGGTTGGCCACTTTACATTCAATAACGAGAGGGTCGTCATGCGGCCCCCTTACCCCTCCTAGATCCTCTTCAGTGATGACAATCTCAGGAAATGTATATTTGGACGGCCGTTCTTGGTGAACGGAATTTACATCTAACCGCCTTATATTATCTTTGTTGCCCCTAATAGTGGGGCCGCCTCCTGAGAAGCCGCCTGCAATGGTGTAGACGACTGCATCATCTGTATCGGAACTGTCGGCCTGTTGATTCTTTTTGGCCGACTGCTTTTTTGAGGAAGTGCTCCCCGTAGATTTCTTGACATAAGTGTCAAGATCACCTTGCTCAGCCAAGCGGTCTAGGTACCGCATGAGACTGATGCAGTCATTGGTGTGATGACCAACGTCATCATGATAAGCACAGATTTTGTCTTGGTTCCGGTTGTTTGCAGAACCCTTCATGGGGACCGGCTTCTCAATTGAGAACCGTCCCTTTATTTCTTTTAGGATAAACTGGTTATCCTTGTTAAACACATACTTTGGGGAGTATGGTTTGAATTCTTTTTTCTTTTTCTGGGCCGGCTGTTTAGAGGAATCAACCGCCCAGACCTCTTTTCTTTTCTCATCTTTGTTAGACGACTGTTTCTGTCGTCCTTCTCTTTTGTCGAACCTTTTCCCGTCCGACTGTTTTATCGTACACAGATCAGTCGCCTGTATATAGGCTTCTGCTTCAATCAAGGCCTCTTGAAGAGTCGCCACCCTTTTTCGAACTAAATCAAATTTGAAGGTAGACCCGTCTTTGAGACCTCTAAAAAAGTCAGTATAAGCTACCTCATCCGGTAACCCTTGAATCTGTATTCTCATCAGGTTGAACCGCCTGATGTAAGAACGAAGCCCCTCCTTCTCGCCCTGCTGAATTGTTCCCAAATCAAGGGTCGTTTTCTTCGCAGGGATGTTCATGGCGAAGTTGGAGGCAAATAAGTAAGCAAGCGTCCTGAAACTGTTTACACAACCAGTCGGCAGGTTGCCGAACCATTGCTGTGCGATTCCCTTGAGAGTCGCTGGGAAACACTTGCACCAAGTGGGATCATCTAACCCTTGAAGGTACATCAGGTTGGTGAATGCCATCAGATGGTCTTCTGGGTTAGTAGTGCCGTCATAGGCGCCTACTAGTACATTTTTACTTTGGCCGGCTGAGCGGCTTCAGTAATTTCCTTGGAGAAGGCCGACGGCTGTTCACCAAGTCTAAGCAACCGTAGCTGCCAGTCCATAGGTTGGACGTTTTTTGCTGCAGGTCCACCAAATGGAGGTGGCTGCATAAAATACTGTTGTTGCGGCACAAATGGTAAGTTTGGTACCGCCTGGGCACTATGAAAGCCGGACTGACGGGAGGTGCCGCCTGACTGACTCTCATGGTACGACTGAGTATGCCTCATCGAGGCATTTCGCAAACTGTCTTGAAAATTTGAAGTAGAAGCCGACTCTGACAATCGGTCACTCTTCTTCTGCTCTAGCAGTAGCCGAGCATCTGTGAACGTTTGCTTTGACCCGTCCGCCTGAATATGACGAACCGGTTTCCTATTTCCCGTAGGATAACGGAATTTTGTGAAATCAAGAGCAGGTGGCTCCCGCTTCTTGGATTTAGGATGAGGAGTCGCCTCTCGCCCTTGAACTGGCTTCCTCTTCAGTGAAGTGGAAGGTTTTTTGGCCGACTGCTCTTTGACTGAAGCAGGCGGCTTTTTGTTGATCAACTCTTGAATCTCTCCCTTGAAGTCCCTCATGAAGGTCATGAGTTCGTTCCTTGTGATGGGAGCAGACCCATCAGTCGGCTGTTGCCGAGCAGGCGGTGCGCCTGCTGGCTCGCTTCCTGTTTGAAGATGCTCCCGTTCCCTCCTTTCGGTATGACGGGTACGTCGGGCCCTTAGGGTCCCGTCTGGAGCTGTATGAGTTTCCACTTCAAATTCACTTTCGGTGTCATGGTCCGACTGAACTCGAGGGTCGTTTAGGGGACGCCTCTCTTCAGGAGTCGGTACAGACTTGGATGCCATCTCTGAAGTACTCTCCCCACAGACGGCGCCAAATGTTTCGGGGTTTTCTGATGTCCTGCGGGAGAGTTACAATTCCGAGACTGGAACCGGACGCCTGTACCTGCAAAATAACGGAGACTCCTGAGAGCTCCGCCTCCAACGGTCAAGTTAGTACCTGATTAAGGAGTAATTAATACGGAAATTAAAGTAATAAGACCTCTCTAGGTGAGAGTGTTTAATGTTGGTAATCTGCTTTGCTAGCGAGATTAGCCGGTTATTAGTGTTCCGTAATGTTTCTGTTCTTCTCTGTTCTTCAGGTGAGATTAATTGCTTGATCAATTGCCTCTCAATTGCTTCATCCCTTTTAATGAGGATTAATTAAGTATTTATAGTCTTGAGAAGCGTGCCACTCTCTAGGTTTAGGGTAAACCTAGGGCTGACCGGGCCTCTAGACAGGATTGGGCCTTGTTGGCCGGTTTTCCCATTTGGCATGGGTGGACACGTGGCGTGCCTCGATTGGTCCGTAGAGGATGTATCTGTGATTGACACGTGGCAGGCTCCTATTGGCCTTCGTGAAGGACACGTGGCGGAACCTGGTTGGTCCACTTGTCAGACTGTTTCGGGGTTTTCTGATGTCCTGCGGGAGAGTTACAATTCCGAGACTGGAACCGGACGCCTGTACCTGCAAAATAACGGAGACTCCTGAGAGCTCCGCCTCCAACGGTCAAGTTAGTATCTGATTAAGGAGTAATTAATACGGAAATTAAAGTAATAAGACCTCTCTAGGTGAGAGTGTTTAATGTTGGTAATCTGCTTTGCTAGCGAGATTAGCCGGTTATTAGTGTTCCGTAATGTTTCTGTTCTTCTCTGTTCTTCAGGTGAGATTAATTGCTTGATCAATTGCCTCTCAATTGCTTCATCCCTTTTAATGAGGATTAATTAAGTATTTATAGTCTTGAGAAGCGTGCCACTCTCTAGGTTTAGGGTAAACCTAGGGCTGACCGGGCCTCTAGACAGGATTGGGCCTTGTTGGCCGGTTTTCCCATTTGGCATGGGTGGACACGTGGCGTGCCTCGATTGGTCCGTAGAGGATGTATCTGTGATTAACACGTGGCAGGCTCCTATTGGCCTTCGTGAAGGACACGTGGCGGAACCTGGTTGGTCCACTTGTCAGACGGTGATTGGTGGATAAAAATCCCCTAATCAGGACTAGTCCCGTGTCAACTAATACTTGGGTCTAACTGTCTAATCCGTAATGGTATTGTGTTACAGAGGAGTATAAGGTGAACACAACTTGCCTTCAATTCACCTTATTTTCATTGAACTTAAATTATTTTGATTGAAGGTATTTAAAGTAATAACTAGTGAGTTAGTTTGAGTGTTACCCCGGATTACTACTTTTATAGTTGTGCAATTGCTAACATATTATTTATTGTGCAAAGTTAAAACATAGTTGACAATTAGTCAAGTGTTCGAATCGTCTCATCCTTGTTGGTTGTGTGGATGACGTGGCATATTAATGTGTTGAGTGGATAACGTGGCATAATAAGAAATTGGGTAAGTGACTTGGCGATTTTTACATCTAAAACAAAGAATCATATCACATCCCCTAGAATCCTATTAGCAACTAAAGGAGTTAGGGTATTTCCAACTCATTTTACACTACTTTAAAGTAATCAAAAGACAAAGAAACAACTTTACTAATTAATATGCATGATAAACAAGTTTCATTGATCATGAACCAAAACCACTAATGAAACTTATTTTTATTAAATTGATTTATCAATAAGCCCCAATTAATCACCATAAAATTGCATTCACATTGTTATTTCAAGTAGCGGTTTAATTTTTAAATTTTAATCTATTTTTCCCGATAAACATATCACATAGATAAAACTTTATTTTCTTAAGCTATAGTGGTACGAGTAAAATTAAAGGATACTCCGTAATAATACTATCTCCGGGTTGAAATGCCCCTGAAACGGAAATATGACGGCAACAACGCGGTTGAAACGGCCGCCGTTTCGCCGGAAGATGACCAAATGACTACCTCTTCTCTCCATTCTTTCGGCGAATCCGAGGACGATAATCATGGCTTCACTATTAAAATCATCGAGGTACTGAATTCTCACTTATCATCTCATATTTTTACTGCTACTATTAATATGAAAATTTTACTCTGATTATTGTATTATGTAATACTTGTAGAATATGAGAGAAGAGTATGGTATGTTTGTATGGCCGTGTAGTGTTGTTCTTGCTGAATATGTTTGGCAACAACGATCCCGCTTTTCTGGAACTTCGGTTACTGAGGTCATTTTTTCATTTTTTTTTAATGATATGCAAATTTGATTTATATAATGCGTGCAATCACTATATAATGTAATTTATGCTATCTACTCTTGAATTTCCTTTATTAAAAACTTGATTGTTGATATTTAATGAGGACTTTTATTATATAATTTCCTTTATTAAAAACTTATTGTTGATGCATTGAGCCATTGATATCTAATGTGGACTTTGATTATGTAATGACATTTGACGAGTAATATTACATTGATATTGCGGAGTGATTAAGAAAACTTAGTCGAGTAGAGGGTGTTTTTGAGTCAGAGAGAGGGCTAGTGTGTGCTGAATTGGGTTAATTTGGGGCTGTGATTGCAGCTGGGTGCAGGAACCTCATTGCCTGGATTGGTAGCGGCGAAAGTGGGGGCAGATGTCACTTTGACTGACGATTCTAAAAGAGTGGAGGTTAAAGGATTTTGTCTCTCACAGCCTAATCGAAGTTACATATAGTTATTTGATGCTAATACTGTATTGTTCACAACTATATGGGTCAATTGCTGTGCTGCAGGTGCTGGAGAACATTAGGAGTGTTTGTGACTTAAATAAGCTGAGCTGTAAGGTAATGTTTGACCCCGTCTTATTTTGCTTCATCGTCTAATTTTGGATAAGTTCCAAAAAGTCTGAAATTTGCTGCATATCGGTTCATGTTGTGTTCAATTGTTTATATGGTTAAAGCAACAAATAGGAAGGAAATAAATCTTGCCAGAAAACTGATTAAATTTTACTTGCATTTGTCTCGATAACATTCATAAATTCATTTAAGAGGAGAAATTTCTCTTGCAATTTAATGATTTATGTGGAAGGGAAGTGTTCTGCTTATTAGAATGACTAACATAAAGATGAAATCTCTTCCCCATATGCCTTTTTGTTTTTGTTTTTATTATTTTAATCGACTATTCAATTTCATCACTCTCTTACCCGTTCAAATTCACATATCTTTGCCTGCTAACCTACTCTTGATCTTGATGCAGGTAAAGGGACTCACATGGGGAATCTGGGAAGCACAGATATTCGAATTGCATCCCCAAATATTACTTGGGGCTGATGTATTGTATGATACCAGTGGTATGAGAAACCCATGCCTTTTCTTTTTGTGCCTTTAATCTTTATACTAGTAAAAGCTTACACTGATACTTTACCTGTTTCATTTAAGCTAGCCTTTGATGATCTCTTCAGCACTGTTGCATTCTTGCTTCAAACTACACCAGGATCAGTTTTTATAACATCTTATCATAATCGAAGGTTTGTATTCTTTTATATTGCCGTATATCATCCACAAAATACCTATATACTTTTGTTTTGGCCTGTCTTTCTTATTCTTATGTATATGCAGTGGACATCATCTTATAGAATTCTTGATGGTTAAGTGGGGTTTAAAATGTATAAAACTCTTGGATGCCTTCTCTTTTATGCCATCTGATAAAGCATCTGGACTTAGTGGTAATATTCAACTAGCTGAAATTGTTTACGTTAGCCAACAGGGTAAGTTGTTTCTGATTGATATTTCTTGTCGGATTTGGATCTTTCATGTTTACATGAATATCTAACTTTATTAGATGGTTCTCTTTGTTACAGTGACATCTTGCTCCAAAGACGGCTGATTAGTGATTACCAATTGCTTTCATCTTCGATGTGGGGTTGTAGTCTTCAAAATACTTCAGATTGAATGCTGCTGTCGTTGTCTGAGACAGCAGTCCTGGGCTAAGGCTGACAATTCCAAACAAATGAACTGATATGCTCAGCCAAAAAAAAAAAATTACAAAACAATGAATTGATATCCAGTTTAGAAAAGCATTTCACTGCAGAAAAAGTTATCATCTACCTGGAATAGTATGCAAGACACTTTCTACGAGTGCCATACTTCAAATTTTGAGGCGTAAGTTGCTGCTTTTTTAGGACTATATGAACAATTTCTGCTGAACTTGATTTTCTGTGAATGTTGAATAATTGTCTTAAATTTTCTTACAAATGTTAGCCAGATATAATTGTCTCACCACAGGTCTCTTTTGTCATGTTGAAGCCTGTTAAAATGAGAGGCTTCATCATTTAAGTCTGAGTAGTTCATCTAGGTGGAAATTTAAACCTCTGTGAGGACTAACAACTCTTTTGAGAGATAGCCTATTGCCTATTGTATTGTCCAAAAATATTTGAGACACATTTGAACTCCTTACTATACTTGAAATGAGCAAAATATTGTCTTTCTTTGTTGTTAATATTGGCGACCATTTTGCACTTTCTATGGGGAGGGGTTTGGGAGGTGAACTTCATTCAAAATTTAAGGTAATTTGTAGCTATTCCATCACAATAGACAATACTGCTATCTGCTTTGTAATACTGAAGCAAGTAGGATACACTTCATGCAAATGACAATGCAGCGCACTGCCACATTCAATCAAGACCTCTTTTCCCTTGTCCAGGGATCTCAACAAATAACCTTATTGTTGATTTTCCTCTGAAAGGATGTTTTTAAGATGGACCTTCTGTAGAAATTCATCCTAGTATGACTGTATGAAATAGGGGAATAAAAGGCTCACACACTGCAAACTAAGGCAATCCATTGTGCTTGATTGCCTTGACTAAACTTTTCTAATGACACATTGTAGTATTTAAATTAGATATCCCAAAGGTGAATGTGCCTCAGTTGACCACTCGGCAATTCTTTCTTACTTCCTGCCCTCCTGTGATGCTGCTCATCTTGATCATAGACTTAGCAAATGCCTCATAGAAAGCTTTCTTGGAACCAGCATATTGGTAAACCAATTTTTTGGTGCTTGGAGAAGTGAGCAAGGTTTGGTCTGATGAAAACAGACTCTTTCCTTGAAGTATTAGCTTGTAATATGTGTTATCAAACATTGTTGGGGAAGGATCCATGTTGGAACCAGCATTTTTCACTTGGCTGTGTGCAGGGCACACTCTTTTTAAGCTGGCAGCGAAGGAAGGATTTATTGAGGGGTCAACGTCATGAGTTGTGTCAAAGTTGTGCAATCGGTTTTGGAATGACGAGCAGTGGGAGAAACCGAGACTGTGTCCACCTGCAGTATGAAGAAGGTTAGTTGAATTCTTTGTATTCTCACTGATAGTCTAGCAATGATGTTAGGGGTTAGGTTACTCCTTCCCCTGTTGTTTTCTTTACCTGAAAGAGCTACTAAATCTCCGAGGTTTAGGCCTCTTTGAGAGAAACTTTGTTGGAGCTGAGATAAGTTGAATGTGGGTGCTGGAAGTTGTCTTGTTTCACTGGCAAGGGATGTTCTCCCATCTTTCCTTCCTTTAGGCACATACCAAGTGGGACCACCTGCCTGTAAACATGAGAATGAAGCTAGTTTGTGAGAGAATTACAGATGCTGGAGAATCATTTTGATCGAGGATCGTTTCTGAGGTGTTAGGTATCTTTTAAATCTATGAAATTAATTAGAAGAGGTAGATGAAGGAAAATATATGTTAACTATAAGAAAAAAAAAAAAAAAAAGAAAAGAAAAGTGGGACAAGTTGGGTCATCACTGAAGACTATGTTCTTAGGACTTACAGCATTTGCTTTTTTATTTTTCCGTTTTCTTAATTTCTATTAAAATGTGCTATAAAGCTATGTGTACTGTTTACTTACAAGGACTACTGCATCCCTTGCAGCTAAAGCCAATATGTCAGCGCATGAGACAACTCCTGGACAAGCAGCTTCTACCGCCTTCTTTGCATTGTCAATGACAAAAAACGCATGCAGTGAAAGGTTTGGAGGGCCGGATTTCTCTACTTTGCTGTTCCCAAATTTGTCTAGCAGCACAGAAGCATCACATCCCTTTAAAGGAGAAAAAAGATTTTTTTTTTCCATCAGTTGCACACATACAAACATAAAACTCACACATGATGAGACAAAGTTAAAATATGCTGGCAAAGTTTGTAGGGCGAGATTTATACCCTTATGAAGCAATCATGGAAATGCAGGCGAAGCAGGGCAGCTGGGACTGTTTTATCTTCTGTGAATGCTTCCTTGACTACATTTGTGACGATATCCTCCACTGAAGGACATGTCTTATCATAGTAATTTGAGCTCAAAGCATCACCAAGGGAAAACACTGAGCAAAGAAGAAGGGAGCTGAAGACTGCAACTGCAATTGCCATGGTTAGACTCTCTGAACTGTTACTTTCTCTTAGTTTATTGTTGTAAATGAAAAGGGTACGAATGAGTATTTATAGGTACATGAAGAGAGAGGGAGTGAGTGAAGGTGATATAGAGATACTGGCATAGAGAGTGACAGAATAACAGAGTTGTTAATGTGACAGATTTTGGATGCTGGTTTACTAGTGAATTAGTTCAGCCTAATGGTGATGAGTAATATTTAAGCATCCTCATCAGCAGAAATTCTGATTATATCTCCACTTTTATTCCTCAACTTTTCCCCAAATTATCAAGGTTACTTTTACTTGGTCTCTCCTGAACCTTCTGCATGTGATCCTATAGTGGTTGAGGACTCGAAGTTGACCGTGTCCTCACATGAGGTAGCTAGTAATGATTCTTCAACCAGGAGATTAATTCTGTTTCAATATCACATTTATTGCATGAAGTGCTTGTATATTCCATTCTTGCAATGTGAGTGTCAATCGATTGTTCTTAACGTTCCATTGTTTTTCTTGCAACATTTTCCACACAATGCAGTTTCATTCGATTGGCCTGTAATAATTTTATCTTGATTAAGCTACGCTAATCTTAGTTATTCGAACTCTTCAAAAGTGATCTACTCGTTAGAGTTTTATCAACTAGGACGTGTTATGACTGTCGTTTCTGTCACTATCTTTCGCCTTTCGCCATTAGACACGGGCATATGGGACTAAGGGATAATAATTGGAGAGTTAAAGAATGAGAAAGTATTAACTGTATGAGATGATAGGATAATAATCCTCGTGATTTGTTTGATAGGTGTATATTTGTTTCTTTTTGTGCCAAGTCAAAAAGAAATGTTACTTTGAAGGGATGTGACTGAAAAAAACACTTGGTTAGAATTGAGCTATCACGTTCGTTAATCACTGTTTCCTCTTTAATGCTTGCTGTTTAAGCTACAATTATTATTATGAAGAAATAATGCAGGGCTCAAGCTAATAAGTAATAACAGATTAACAGATACTTCAAATCAGGTAGTAGGATCACAAATTTAAGCAGCTACTAGACGAGAAGATACAGATTAGCTGCAAAGTAGTACTTTAGTAGTTAATAATGCGTACTGTTAGGCTAACGAGTGACGACTGTATACTGAATTGACTGCGCTTCTCATTGTCGGTGTTCTGCATTATGGCTTTACCAAGTCTGTGTCGGCAACTGATGAGTGTTGGCCCGTTAACTCCGATGTATACGCATAAAATATTTACAATTTTTTATTCGGGCATGTAAAATGTGAGAGAGTGTAATTTTATATGCGAGTGTAAAATGGTCATTGTTCGTTCTTTACTTGAATATATTCAAAGATTATTTTGTGTTTCCTTCAAAGTTAGAAAAGGTTATTAATGTCCCTCGTAACTTTACGAATGTACTAATGGTTGTCTCCTAAAAATACTTGCTCCAACGGGCTATTTTTTTGGAGATAGAAAATACAAAGTATGATGTATTTGTATGTTTAAGATATGACAAATTACAATTATTTCCCTAGTAGTAGGAGGGATATATATGTTTTCAATAGCTATGAATATATTTAGGAAAAATCCAATAATAGTATGTTAATCTGGTTATCCTTGGAATTATGGTGTTTTTGTTACTTCTTTTATCTCTTCTAATACCAACTTCTCTAACTCGTTGCATTGCTACTTGTATGAAATTTCAATGTGATGCATGTTGAAAACTACTAAAAACGTTAAGGAGGTTAAATAAATCGTGTATCACATCCAAATGAAAGTTGCTGGTTTCGTTTTCACTTCTTGTCTTTGTGATTTGATATTACTTTCGTAACTTGTTTCCAACTTTTCAAGTACGAGTATGACTTGAACATAAACCTTTCTGTTCACTACTTTTAATTAGAAGTTGAGCGGCAAACTGAGTTGCTAATCAAGGAGTTACTCAAGATGATAAGCTCGCAATCTTGCATGATGGAGTCCCTTTAGAACTAAGCACAGTAGAACTACTAGGTTGATCATGCAATTAGGGAAAGAAGGAAAGAGTGGGAACTAGTACGTAGGTTGTGTTTTGTCTTTGTCATCACTACCACCAGACATGGTGGCCTGGTGGCATGTGATTGTGTGAGAGGGAGGGCCAACGAGCGTTTGCTGGTCTATAAGTACACTCGAGTTTATAGATAGAAATCAAACTCAAAAAATTCTAAAATATTTCCTTAAATTAGTCTTTAAGATGTGAAATAATTTAACAGTAATTGATGTTCTTAATATAATTGGATTTTTCACAAAGCGCTATCATGAATATTGTTTCAAAAAATGACCTTATAATGAAATAATCAAGCTGTTTACTAGAAGCAGCATCCTTCTTGTGGTTGGCTAATCTTCTTTACTATAAATCTTTAATAGCTATTAAGAATTTGCTTAGTATTTTAGCAAGATTACCTTAATGAACAGGGGATTTCCTTCAGAAACAACGCGTTCTGATTGTTTACTCAATAAGAGTTAAAAAAATTTAACTTCATTTTCAATTCTATTCTGTTACAAATCTCACAACAGCTATCAGCTAGTATATAATCTGGAACTGGAAACAAAACATGCTTTCACGAAGTAAAGGCAATACAATGAACATTTGATTGCCTTGATTTTTTTTAAAAATGTTGCACATTTAACTTATTAGACACAAGCCCTTATGAATTGACCTTTCGACAGTTCTTTCTAATCTCCTGTCCTCCATTGATGCTGCTCATTTTAATCATAGACTTAATGAATGCTTCATAGAAAGCTTCCTTGGAACTAGCATATTTGTAGACCAAGTGTTTAGTACTTGGAGCAGTGAACAAAGCTTGGTCCGAAGAAAACAGGCTCTTTCCTTGGAGAATTAGCTTGTAGTATGTATTGTCAAACATTGTTGGGGAAGGATCTAGGTTTGAACCGGCTTTCTTCACTTTGTTATGTGCTGGGCAGACTTTCTCTAGGCTTGCAGCAAAGGATGGATTGATGGAGAGATCAATGTCATGAGTTGCATCGAACTTGTTCAATCGGTTTTGGAATGATGAGCAGTGGGAGAAACCTAGACTGTGTCCACCTGCATTGAAGAACAATTGTCATTGTTATTGTTCGTTCTGTCTTTCTGGTCTGTCACAGTTAAATCAGGCCCTGCTTTTATCAAAGTATCTTTAAGGGAAAATAATCGAACAAAACAATTTCAGGTTACGTCAGGTTAAGTATAGAAAACTTCAGATCAATTCAAAATTTCGGGTGGTGATAGAATGTTGTCCTGTGTTTACCTGAAAGTGCTACCAAATCTCCGAGGTTAAGGCCTCTCTGTGCAAAACTTTGTTGAAGTTGAGATAGGTTGAAGGTGGGTGCTGGAAGTTGTATTGTTTCACTAGCAAGCGATTTTCTTCCATCCTTCCTTCCTTTAGGCACATCCCAAGTAGGTCCACCAGCCTTTATGAGAAATACAATCAATTAATACAAATATACTTCGTATAAAAGATGATCATTATTATAAAGTTGAAGTTGAGTGATGGGAATTTTTATGATGAGAATGTTACATTATCTACAACTTTTAATTGCATGCATATACTTTAAAGTTTCCTAGATAAACATACTTATAGAAACACTGCTGCTTACAGATTAATTTTTTATGATCATGTGAAAACATTCTCATATATAATGGCCTGCCTTTTTTGTGTGATCTTTACAGAAAGTTTATTGTTTACTTACAACGACGACTGCATCCCTTGCAGCGAGAGCCAGTATGTCAGAACACGAGACAACTCCGGGGCAAGCATCTTCCACCGCCTTCTTTGCATTGTCAATAACAAAAAATGCATGCAGTGAAAGATTTGGAGGTCCAGATTTCTCTACTTTGTTGCTCCCATCTTTGTCAAGCAGCACTGAAGCATCGCATCCCTGCAAACAGATTTAACTCTATTAAGCATTTGAATTTATCTATACAAATATGAAATGTATGGAAAAGGAAATATATTCTGGCAATGCAAGCTGATTTAGTACCCTAATGAAACAGTCATGAAAATGCAAGCGAAGCAGAGCAGCTGGGACTGTTTTATCTGTCTGGAATGCTTCTTTGACTGCATTGGAAATGATATAATCGACATCAGGACACGTCTTAGCGTAGTGATTTAAGCTTAAAGCATCTCCTAGGGAAAATGCAGAGAAGATTAGTAGCAAACTGAAGATTGCAGCAGAAATAGCCATGTTAATGTTTATGATTGTGATGAATATTATTATTGCTGTTTTCTCTGCTGTTTTTTGTTGATGAAGTTGAAGTGAATATTACTATAGGCATATATAGTGTGACAGTAGTAAAAAGGAGATTGATAGAGAACGACAGAGTAACAGAGTTGGTTATTAAAAGGCTTAAGATGTTGTTGGTTGACAACAGTAAATTAGTTCAGCCTAATAGGTGTTGATGTTTATTGTTGAAGCATCCTCTTTATAGATACAAAAAATTTAGAGGAATTCTAATACTTTTTGAGGTTTTTACTTGCGAATGAGAAACAAGGGAAAGATAGAAAATTAAATATTATTAATTATGTTTTTTTGCTTATGTATATTATTGTTGATTTGAAGTCTTTATTATAGTACTGGTATTTATTTGGCATTGAAGTCATCAAATTATGATCCTAAATTTGTCAAAAAATGAAGTTTCAAATTACTTGTCATTTTTTTAAATCAAATTTATCTACAATAAGGGTTTAATATGGTGCAATCATGTACACCATATTAAACCCTTTAAATTTTGAGGAGTTACCTTTCAATTATTAATTAGTTTGTCAAAGTGGAAATTAATATCGTTACTTCGTAATAAAACACTTACACGGTATATTATTAGGAAAATTATCTAGCTGACCATGAAGTTTAATGAAATACTTAAATTGACCACATGCTCCTACGAGTTACAACTTAATTAAATCGAGAATAAAAATTACGAAGTACTCTCCCGTTTCATAATTAGAAGCTTGTTGTTCAAAATTAGAAGTCTGTTTCTATTTATAGATAATACTTTTTGACAATAATACCCCCATTTTGATGATTTGTCATCTTTTTTTTTTTAATTTTTTTTTATAATTTTTTTGTACTTTGGGCATTAATTTCCAACACTTTCTCTCTCCACTTGTTCAATAATTCTCAACTACCTTTTCTTTGCTCTATTTCTCTCTAACCACATATCATATTTGTACTCTCAACTAACTTCCTTAATTTCCGTGAAAATTGGAAAATAAGCTTCTAATTATGAAACGGAGAGAGAGTACTATGTATTGGAATGTTACTATTAAAATATGTTCCACAATTTTTGTTGCCTTATGTCATTTTTAATTCTTTATTTCTACATATTAGACTTTTGTTTCTTTCTACAAAGACATGTAAAAACGATAAAAATAGCGGATAAAAAATAAAAAAAAACCCGAGCAACAATTAGGAACTTTAGGGTATGTTCTCATTGACTGAACTGCGCTGAGCTGAACTGAAATCAATTGATATTTTATGAGAGAAGGAAATACAAGCTGAACTGAAAATAAACGTATGAGAACATCTGAACATGCCCTGAGAAGACATATATATGTTTTATTTTTAATAGAAAAATTTAAATGTGTTAATTTTTATTTAATCAGAATTTAATTGTGTTGACTTTATTTGCAGAGGAAATTAAATTAAACTCTTTATTATTTTATTTTTTTTTATATAGGAAAATTCATTTTTTATATTATTTCCATAAGTGGGAAAAACCCCATATTTTCCATTTTCCCGGTAAATTTAACGACTACCAAAATTAAATAAAATTCACGGAGTACTTCCTTAAAAAAATAAAAAAAAATAATAATAACAATAATAATAATAAAAAAAAATCACGGAGTATTCTGAAGAAAATAGCAAAGCCGTTAGCCGCTCACAACACAACACAACACAAAACCCTTATCCCTTAATCCCTTATTCTAGGGTTTAAGCAACAGAGCAAACCCTAATTCCAAATTCACTATCCTCCAACTTCAAATTTCTACCTCGTATCAATCTCCGTTGGACACAGGGGGGGCACGTGCTACCCCCCCCCCCCCACCCCCAAAAAAAAAAAAAAAATTAATTTTTTTTTGAGAAAAAAACCACGGGAAATGGCTTCACCTTCCTCTTCTCTTTTCTCGTTCAAACTTCAAAGTCTTCAAACCCTAAATCCTAACTTCTCACTTCCGCCCACCCGCCCCACCGCACTCAAATTCACTGCTGCCGCCCGCCGGAGTGCCGGACGCCGTCAAGCTGCCTTCCCCTCGACCCTGCTGCTCGATCTTGGCCTCTGTCCTCTGACCTCGGCTCGACGGAGTGACGGACGAGTGGACGACGGTCGACGGCTCGGTAATTTCCTCTGTCTAATTACTTAATTAGCTTGCTTACTTCAGTTACTTGTTAATTAATTCTAATCTGGGAAAGATTAATTTAGGGTTCATGTTGTTGTTAATTGTTATCGGTTTTATGAATTGGGTTTTGGTTTTTAGATGATTTGGTTTCTGGGTTTTAAGTTTTGTTTGCTTATTTGTTTGATTGTATTTTATTAATGAAATTAGTTGGAATTTCATGAATTTATTAAAACCCATGATTCCATGAAATGGGCGAAGCCGGGCTGCCGGGGACTCGGGGAGAGCGAGAGTGTCAGTGGGGTCGTGGGGAGGAGAGAGAGTGGGGTGGTGTCTCTAATCTAAAATAATAAAGCGTAGTAGCGTACTCTAATCTCCATTGAAGCAATTTCTATGTTCCTCTTCAATTGAAATGGCTCCTGGGTAAGATGTTCATTCAACCTTTTATAATTATTATTTTTATTATTTTGTTTGTACTACATGTCGTTATGTTCAGTGGTGGTGCCGTGGTGAAGATGAAGGAAATGGGGGTGTGAAATTGATGTTTGGGAATCTGGGTAATGGTGATTATAATGATGGGTTTGATCCTAATTTTGTGTATAATTGTTACTTTTGTTCTTCAAACAATATGATTAATGCTGGATTTAATTTTACAATGTAGTTCAAGTTGTAAAATCATGCACTCCATAGTTTACAGTTTGAAAGAAAAATCATGTAGCTTTTTTTTGGGGGGTAGGGGAAGAGGGTGAATTTGTGGTATTTGGTCATTTTTAGTACTAATTTGCCTTAGCGCATTTTGAACTTAGTGTCATAATGTACGTTGTCGGTTGTGCTACCCCTCCTCCAAAATCCTGGATCCGCCACTGATTGGACAAATTCATCTTCTAGAATGGGATCGAAGAAGAAGAAATCGAACAAATCCGGCGCCGGAGATTCCGCCGGCGGTAGCGGAAATGGCAAGAAGAAGGAGATTCAGATGATTGAAGATCCTCGATTTTCAATGATTCATACTGATCCCAGATTCCAGAGAGTTCCGAAGAAAATGGATAAGATTTCTATCGATTCTCGGTTCAGTCAAATCTTCACTGACAAGCTTTTTGCGGGATCCTCAGCCAAGGTTGACAAGCGTGGGAAGCCTAAAAAGCAGTCGGAAAATGCTTTAAGTCGATTTTATCACTTGGAGGAAGATGAGGAAGAAAAGGATGAAGTTAAGAAGAAGAAGAAGAAGAAGAAGAGTGTTGTGAAGAAAGTTGAGGATGAAAGTGAAGGAAATAGCAGTGATACGTTGGGTCCGGAGTCGAGTGGCGAATCGTCTGAGTCGGAATTGGATGGTGATTCTGAGAGTGATGATGATAGTTTGACGAGTGATAGTGATGATGATGAGGTGGCTGGTGTGGATGTGTCGGAAGATGATGAGTCTGTTGAGGTATATTTTGATTATGAATTGTTGTTTTTGGAATAAATTTGATTTCTTTGTTGTTAAGTGTTTCGAATTTCGGCTTATTTGTTTGTGGAACAGGTGGAGAATGTGCCTGTAATTGATAGTGAAACGCATAGATTGGCTGTTGTTAATATGGATTGGAATCAAGTGAAGGTATTATTTTGAGCTTTTTTCGAGTTTTAAAGCTGATTTGAATGGTCATTTGAAGTTATCCCTTGGTGCAATTCTAATGACTCAAAATCAAATATGGTGTATTCGTTGTTTTATTGAATTCGAACATATTTGTATTGAAATGCAAATTGAGTTATTGATATACTTTGTGTAATGTTGTCCATGATTAATGAGTCGTGATTATCATTGTTGGAATATTGGCAATATGTAGATTCCTATAGATTCTTGTGGAATTTGGATTGATTAACTACCAAGAAGGATGGAACTTGCTGTATCATAGACGGGATTACTAAATGTTATGCTGTTATCTTTTGGCTTTACTTCATTACTCTATCTTACCTTTGTGATTGTGATGGTATTCTGTAGGCTGTCGACATATTTATGATGTTGAGATCATTCCTGCCTAAAGAAGGGCGAATTAAGGCTGTAACGGTCTATCCTTCAGAATTTGGACTCAAGCGTATGGAAGAGGAAGCAGTTCGTGGTCCAGTTGCCTTGTTGGGGGATGAGAAGAAAAAAGGCGATGAGGGTACGGAAGATGTAGACGAAGATGAAAATGAAGATGAAGATGAAGAAGAAGAAGATGATGATGAGATAGATACTGAAAAGCTGCGTGCTTATGAAAAAAGTAGGCTAAGGTAATAATTAAAAGCATTATGAAGGTTCCCTGCTGAGATTCTATGTATAGATGTTTGATAGCCTCGAGAGGAATTGTTATACTTTCATGATTTGCTCTTTTCTGCATAACATTGAAACACTAATTCATTTATGAAACTGCTGTAAAAACTGTCTTTCTTGTTACTTAAGACATGGGTAAAACTTTCGGGTCTGGATACATATTTAGGTATCTAACACTCCAAGGTTAGAAATTTCAAACACGGGGAAACTGTCTTAAAATTGTACACGGGTGCAGGGACACTATATACAATGGAAAGTATTCATGTTTTTAGGATACTTTTTGCATGAATTATAACGTATACTTCAATGTACACACATTTTAGGTTGACTTGATTGTTAATTCTTTTTGGAATGCTAATTTGTAGCCTATGTGTGGGCACATATTCATCTCTACATTTTGTTCTACGGTTATATGGCTCATATTGAATGAAGTGTCTTAAGCTTCATTGAAGTGTTAGCAGTTTAGCACAGCTGCATGCTTGCAAAAAATTATGAGGTAAAGATTATATACCCTTCTTGGAGTGTTGAGTGGTACAGAAGACTAGATGAAGAGCAGTTGCATAGGTCATGGATATAATATGTGAGCAAGCTTAATACATGTAAGAGCTATAAGTTCCAAAAAAAGATGACAAGCATAATAGAATTCGTAGGAGCTGGCTATGTTGTCCCCGTCACAAGTTATATCTAGGAAGTCAGGGTGAAGAAAAGCTTATAATGGTCATATACTGCTCTTAACCCCTGTGGGAGATTGCTGGTTCTGACTTTCTTTGCTACATGTTCTTTCCCTTATTTTCTCTCTGTGTCTCACTTCAGATTTCTTGTTTGTTTTATATAGCTATGCTCAAGTGGCTTAATTGTTTGAGATTTATGAACTCAAAGCTTTATTTTAAGTGTTATTTCTAAATTGTTCCGTGCTCTTCCAGGTACTACTTTTCTGTAGTGGAGTGTGACTCTATTGCTACTGCAGATTACATCTACAAAGCTTGTGATGGGGTTGAGTTCGAAAGATCATCTAATGTGCTGGACCTGAGATTTATACCTGACTCTATGGAATTTCCTCATCCACCGCGGGATGTTGCAAAGGAGGTAATTTGACCTAATTATTATCTGCGATGTCTGTCCACAGTCAAAGATATTATTGCTTTTATAGCAGTTTGAGGAAAGCAGTTAATTATTTTTAGCTTTGTTAAATTTTCTGATATCATAATTCATGAGTTGTTTACTTCCCAACAGATAATAGTAACATTGTGGTTGTACTGTAGGTTGATCTTTAGGTTATGTTTTGATTATATAATGGCAATTTTATCACATCATGTTTTGATTATTTGATGGCAATTTTTATTAAATCTTCCCTTTTGCGTTTATTCTTGATATCAGGCACCAGCTGATTATGAGGGTTTAGACTTTCAAACTCGGGCTTTGCAGCAAAGCAATGTAACCCTTTCTTGGGATGATGATGAACCACATCGCTTGAAGACACTGAGGCGAAAATTCAATGATAACCAGGTTAATATTACACCCTGTCATAAACATACATCCATTTTTCTTCTGCCTGATATGTATTTTTAGTAAGTTTATTTTGCAGTATTCATTCCCTTTGGCTGGGGATTATCAACATTCTTCTAAATGTGGTTTTTGCTTTAATTTGAGTTAGGCTAGCTGCTATTTCTTATATGAGGCAACATGGCATTTTGGTTATACATTTGTGCTTTGTGTGAGATTTTTATTTTTATTATTATTATTATTATTATTATTATTATTATTATTTATTTTTTTTTTTATTTTTAAACTCTAATGTTTCTGATTGGGGGAATTATGGTTTATTAATAAGGGTAATATGTTAGATCTGTGAGCAGCCTTTTTGATTTATTGTTTCTGATTGAGAATAGGAAAATAGGCAAATATATGGGTGATGTGTGGATAGTATTTATCAGAAAAATCACGCACTCACAAGGAGATTGTTTATCAAATTATTTTTTCATAACATTTTAGTTGAAAGTGATACCTTACCACATAGTCAAGTCACTTTATTGCAAGGATGTTTTGTACTTTTATTTGATGCAGGATCAATTCATATGGAAAGTGTATGTTTCCACTTTTCATGTTGACAATACTTAAAAGATGAATGTTCAATGGTTTCCTTTAAAATGTTGACAGTACAGAATTCAGCAGGGTTATTTCCCTTTCATCACTCATGATTTTTTTTGTTGTAGCTTGCTGAATTGGAATTGAAAGAATTTTTGGCATCTGATGAGAGTGATAGTGATAGTGACGAGGATGTGGATGAGGACGTGAGTGAGGATGTTGCAGATTTATCCGATGAAGTAAATAAAAAAGCCAGGAAAACAAAGATGAAGGCGAAGATGGCCAAAAAGGATATGTACCGTGCCTTGGTTCAGTCTGGAAATGGTTCAGAGGATGATGAAGATGAAGGCCAAGATATGGAGGTTACTTTTAACACTGGTCTAGAAGATCTTAGTAAGAAAATTCTTGAAAAGAAGGATAAAGGTTCAGAAAGTGTTTGGGAGGCATATCTGAGAAAAAAGAAAGAGAAAAAGAAAGCTAGGAAATACAGCTCAAAGAATTCATCGGATGATGACAGTGATGAGAGTGATCAAGAGCCTCTCGAACAGACAGAGGACTTTTTTGTGGAAGATCCATCAGTTGTTAAAAGCAAGAAGGTTAAGCTTGGTAAGAAGAATAGGGAAGAGAAGACACCGTTGGAAGATGAAGAAACTGTAGCAACTACAGCAGAGCTGGAGCTATTGCTTGCAGATGAGAAGGGAACAGATAATAATCCGAAGGGTTACAAAATTAAACCGAAAAAGGGCAAGGGAAAGAAGGGTAAACAGGCTCCTGATGAAGACAACTTACCAGAAATTGACTATGATGACCCGCGCTTTTCAGCACTCTTCACTAATCCTGCATTCTCTTTGGATCCCACGGACCCTCAATTCAAGAGGTAAATCTTTGTTCACTTTTTATAGGATATACATGATAAAACCGAATATTTTTCTGGATCTATTGCCTAGAATATGATAATGAATCCAAGGAAAGTGTTACTATATTGTTTCTGAAGTGTGTTATTGATTTCTTGCAGGAGTGCAACTTACTTTCGGCAATTAGCTCAGCGGCAACAGAATGACAGAGGAGAGGATACAGCAATAGCGCCAGTGGAACTGTCAAGACCAAGTTCAAATGGCTCGAGTAGGAAAGAAGATGATAATTCTGAAGGTGCTTCCCGCAAAGAGAAGTATGAGTTATCCTCGATGGTTAAATCTATCAAAATGAAATCTCAGCAGCTTCCTAAGCCATCTAGTGACAAATTGAAAAAGGGTAAGACAGAACATGGATCAACCATAAAGGAAAAGAAGCATAAGCTAGAAGGATTGGATCACAAAATGAAGAAAAAGGCCAGAGTGTAGAATAATAATGAACTCACTTCACCAATACAAAATTTTGATAATTTATTCATTTATTTGAATTACAGACTTACTCTGCTTGATTAGTCTTTTCAAGTGTTTTTAAGAGTAGGATTTGTAGCCTGTTGACAATGCTGTTCTTGGTGTTACTTAAAATCTTATATACTGTCATTCTAATTGTAGAAACTTTATAATGCTTAGGATTGAAAACCATAGTATATGAGAAAATACAAGTTCATCTTGATGATAAACAAAATTTGTTTATCTAATGGCATTTTCGTAAATAAATCAATAAAAAATTACAGTCAGCATGATATTTTCGTAAATAAGTCAACATTTGTGGGATCCGCATATTAATAAAAGTTGTTCACTTATTTACAAAAATGTCATGCTGACTGGGATGAATTGTTGATATATTTACGAAATTGCCATTAGATAAACAAATTTTGTTTATCATGAAGATGAATGGGGGCTCCCTCAATAGTATATCTTACATACTTGGAGCGTGAAATGAGAATTGCAATATTAACTACTCCATATGTGATGATCCTTTCATACCCTTCTCAGTTCATCATTCCCTTCTGAAGTGTTATGTATCTTCAAATAAGTATGAAAGACCATGATATTTTTTTTAAGTAGTTAATTCAAAACATTTCTGTCTTCTCCGAAAGAAATGACAAAAAAGAAGCTGAAATACAGTAGAAGATAGTATCACATATTTGCAAAATCTCCAATCTATTTACTGCTGTATTGTATGAAAAAATCATTATATGGTAGTGAGCCATATGTACAAGTAAAGGGTTGAGTTACACAAACTGACGGTCATAATTTATATCCATAACCAAGTAGCCTGCTAACATTGTACTCTATAAAATGTTGAAACGTGTATTTGGATGAACTGCTCCGATCCAAAGAATTATCTGTTAAACAGATAGAATCAGGATCAAAATTGTGCAGATTAAGAAGTAGCTGTGTGCTAAAGCTGATGGTGCGCCTGATCTGTTTGGTGGTGGTGTGCCTAATACGGTTGGTTGAAAAAAGGGAGGTCTTGGACTGACAGGTACAACTTCACCACCTGATGCAGCACAGAGTAGTTGGTTAACCATTGAAGAAACTTCATGAGGAGCGAGAAAGATGGAAAGTACATTGTTACTAAACGGAGCTACTTATCACAGGTTTGAAGTATTTTTTTTGAAAAAAATAGTACTTACAGTCGTGTTCCTTCCATCCAAATACCATTCTCTCGTGATCAAAAACAATGCGATAGCCAGTCAAGAAGTTCTCTGTAAAAGAACCAAACATGAGTATATGCTATGTATCACTTTTCTTTTCTCATATGCTAAAGCAATCAATACTCACCTCCAATAATATTTATGTCATGTTCGCCACTTTCAGATTTTAAAACAGCTAAACAGTATACATATCGACCATCCTTGAAGATCAATAGCAAACTGTCAAATTTCATATAGTGAAGAGGCATGATAAATTTCATCCAATTACTGTCACAAATTTACCTCAGTATTAAAAATAATTGTTGGATCAATCACAGTGATTATGCCTCCACTTCCCATTGTCAGATTAATACTGGGAATGTTCAAGTCGTCGATGATTGAACTGCAACATTAAGGTAAATTTCAGTACATGAAATATTACAAGTATATCTCAAATTCTTTTTCAGATAAACTGAACCTACCTTGTTAAATAGCAGAATTCAAAAGGATTCTCTGGATCAACTGCCAGCTTTCGATCATTAATCTGTGAATCGAACTGCACACAGATTGTAACCATTATACTCGATCCTCATTTCAAAAATCAATAAGAATATAAGATAACTCAAATAACTTGCCTTTTCAGAGATAATACTATAAGCTGGATCAGTCAAGTGAGTAAATGAAGTGCCAGTATCTATGATCACAGTTAAGTTTGTAGCAGAGACGTTTTTTCCCATACTAATTTGAGTAATGCTGACATTATATAAACTGTTGAAAAAAGACAGTATTATCTGAGTAAAATTTCCCAACACCTTTTAAGCAAGAAATCATACTGAAAGACAATGAATGACTTACTTCAATGGATCATCAGTACTGAGTGGTGTTTCGCCTTGTTCATTGCTGTCTCTATCTCCGAAGATTATTTTACCAATGCCATCTCCAGTGAAACACATGGAATAAGAATTTGATGTAAGGTTTTGACTTGCTAAGACGCTTGGTAGTGAAATGGGATCCATAGTAAGTCCAAGCAGGCCGTTTGGAGCTCCATTACTCAAGAAAGAACCAGTCTGACGGACACCACAGCTGCAAGCCACAAGCACTTTGATCATGATCAGCTAATTGGCTACTAAAACAGTTCATTTTTTTAGCAAAATAATGCAATTTCCATTTTTCCAATGTTGTAGCTAAACGTTTTTTGACAAAAATGTTGTAGTTAAACGTTGAAACATCAGTAAAGATGTTTTTTTGCAACTAATGCACAGTTTGATTGTTGGAAAGCTCCCAACAGCTAGTTTGTCCAAGCACATTTCTCACAGATTCTGCCTTTCAAATACCATTTCATCTCTGAAGTTGGTTTTTCCAACTTAGGCCCTGTTTGGTTTGATGTAAAATGTTTTCATGGAAAATGAATTTTCCATTTTTTTCCCCATTTTCCCTTGTTTGGTTTGTTAAGGAGTGGAAAACAATTTTTCAAGGGTGGAAAATTTCATCCTTAATGATGGAAAACATTTTCCTTCCAAAAACAAGGGAAGCCACATTTTCCTCTCTCCTACTTACCTCTTTTTTTACTTCCCTCTCATTCATCCTTACATTTCCACTCTTATTTTTTATTTTTCTTGGACTTTTCTTATATGCAACCAAACAAAGGAAAACTAATTTGCAATTGTGTTTTTCCTTGAAAATATGTTTTCCATGAAAACTAATTTTCCATTGAAAATGTTTTACATTAAACCAAATGAGGCCTTAATGTAAAACTTCTTTGCTGTAAAGAGGGCTAAAAGAAGTGAAGGATTACCCGAAAGGAATCTTAGCATTGATGCGCGCTGAAGAATTAGAGTTCATTGAAAGATGCAATACATCCTCTACCATGTAACCAGAAGATGAAGTGTTTGCTTGTAGATAATGAACTCCGTAGGGGCATCGGCCTTCTGATGAAACGCAGCTTAGGCTGTTCTGACAGAGAGGGCTACTGCATGGAAGTTGGGTTCCTGTCGATGAAGTACGTAAGCTGTATATGTTGAAGTCTAAAACCTGAAGTCCAAAATAAGGAGGAAAAAAAATAAAGCAGGGCAATTGTTAGAGTAGAATACACATAATAGCCTTAAAAGGCAATGCATTTACGAATCTGTCAAATACAGGTACATATACATGCCAGAACACACAAAAATCAGAATTTGACAGCAGACTGGAAGGAATTAGCACAAGCTTACCTCATCAGAACTGAATTGCAATTGCGTGACACAATTAGGCACGCAGTCACACGGTAGCCAGAAAATATGACTGCCTGTATCAAGAGCCACTAGAAACCATGATTCCGGTGTTCCTACAGACACATTCGCGTAATATAAACTGAAAAAGGACAGGAACAAAAAATGATGTAAGGCAGAAAGAAAACAGATGAAATAACATTCAAACTCATCAGAAGCCTATGACAGAAACTCAAGATTACTGCTAATTCAGCACCATAAAGTCCTCTGAAGGTTTGACTTTATAAAAAATCTCTCAGAAAATAAATTTAACGCAGACAAAAAAAAAATGAGAGAGCATACAATCCAAGTTCAGCGATATGGTAAGTGGTGTTCCCAGAAGCAAAGGTGAGGGTGCTGTCATTAGCCTTTTCTCCTGCTAATCTGCGGCCATGGAAAACACGATCACGATGAGCCATTGCTGCGTAGTAATCAACCGTTCCCTTCTCTGGAAACCCGTAATCATTGTTGAAAATTGTGTTAACAGGATCAGAAAATCTATGAAGGATATTAAATCCAAATGCCTCAGATCCATAACAACTTTGACATGTCAAACTTAACAACATCAAAAACAGCAATAGTAATCCATAAGTTGACTTGCACCCCATCTTACAATTCATGAATAATATCATAACTTTTTATAATAAACTTAGCTTGAATTTTATGAGATGATCAAAATTGTATGAAATTCAGACATTTTGGTGGAAGTTTTGCAATCCATTTAATATTGAGCTACCAATTGGTGATCAAGCAATTTAAAAAATTGTTGGTGATAAATTTTAATATAATGACAAAGAATTCTTTGTAAGCAAGCTGTAGAATAATTCAAAGTCAATGTTTGAGAATCTTCAAAATGTTACTTTTGGCATCTTCTTCTCTCTCTCTTTCCATGAAACTATTTCTCTTGTTACGGCTTATTTTTCATCATCACTCCAACTTATTTTAGTAGTAAAATTAAATTAGTAGCACTTAGGGGTGGGACTTTTCAAATCGAACCGTGAAACCGCCCGTTACCGAACCGAACCATCACGGACCGATCCGTTTATAAACCGATAAATATAAACCGAAAACCGAACTGAACCGTTCAATATCAAACCGAAACCGAATTGAACCGCTCAATGTCAACCCGTTACGGACCGTAAACCGATAACAAACCAAACTGCGCAAATCCAAACCGAAACGAAACCGAACCGAATGGTTTATAAACCCGTTAATGACCCGAACCGTTTATAAACCGAAACCGTTTAAACCGAAAAAAAACCGTTTAAACCGAACCATTTGTAACCCGCTAACCGTTTAAACCGACCCGTTTATGAACCGAAACCGTTTAAACCGCACGTATAAACCGAACCGTTATAATCCGCTAACCGTCTAAACTGAACTGCCATAACCCGTTAAACCGTTAAAATCGAACTGTTTTCGAATCGCAACCTGTTTAAACTGATCCGATTACAAACTGCTTAACTCAAATTGAATTATTTACAACCTAAATGGCTAAATAGTAAATACAATTAATGTTAATAAATGTAGATATAATCAAACGGCTTAGGTTTATACAAAGGTTTATATCACCTAAATCTAGGCCAACGACATAATTAATATCGTTTTAGATTACTTATTTATTTTAATTACAAGATATATCATTTGTATCATTTTCATTCCAGTAATAATGCTAGTCCACCCAAATTATCTTCATTGTTCCTTGATATTCATGATCATCCAATAACACTCAAAGCCTCAAAGGTAACATAAGATTGGAGATGTATGAGATTGCGTTACACAAGTGGCATAAGCATTAGAATATTATTGTACTAGTCAATAAGGCGTACAATCATTCACATTATCACTTTATAAAACTTTCTTATACAAGTATTTTGTAAAGGGGAGGACTAAAATGTTTATAAAACACATTTTTTTAGTTTTTCTTATATTAAACCAGATATTAAGTAAAAGAATTTTAATAAATACGGAGGCATCCCAAATCTGTAGCCACAATTATTTCATAACATTACCACAAATCCAGCAGATAAATAGCATTGAAATTAGAGTAATATCAACAAGCAATTAAAAAAAGTCACCATTTTCATTGATTAAAATTCCCAAATTCACAATACATATACCAATACATAATGAAACTACTATCACTACTACCCAGATTAGATTTCAGATTTATCAACTGAAACATCATCAAGTTTAGGGTTGCAAAAAATGATACATTATAAGATGAAGGGAGGAGTGAGAATGTGAGTGATTTGGGAGCAGAATCTTGAAGCAGCAGCACAACACCCAAGAGCAGAGGAAATAGCAGCAACAAGCAGGAACCAGCACACGGAATAACAGATCAGCAACTTATCATAAGCAAGGAATAATATAAGCAGAAGAGACTCAGCAGGAACTTATTTTTGTTTTTCAAAATTGCTCTCAGATTTACGTTTATCGTATCATCACTGAGCAATGGCTGTTTTAACTTAAAACTTGAAATATGCTGCCAGCAAGTACATATACATTGAAGTCTCAACATAAATGACAAGGGCAACGATGATTCAAGAAAAATTAAAACAGCAGCAACAAAACTTATCTTAAATTCATAACACAAAAGGCAGCAACACGGCACCTCAAGCTGGCAGGAGGCAGGAACCAGCTCATGCAGGCAACAATATAGGCAATAACAACTCAGCAGAGACAACAACCAAAAGGCAAAAGCACTACCAACAGGCAGCAGCTCATAACAAGTTCAAGCAACTTCAAAATTATAGCTTTTGTTTTTTTAAAATTGCTCTCAGATTTACATCACTGAGCAATGGTTGTTTTAACAAAAACTTAAGAAATGCTGCCAGCAAGTACCAAAATACATTTAACTATTTAAGTATCAACATAATGACAAGGGCAACGATTTTAAAAGTCTTGAAAAATGCTGCCAGCAAGTCTGAAAATAAATGACAAGGGCAACGATTTTAAAAGTCTTGAAAAATGCTGCCAGCAAGTCTGAAAATAAATGACAAGGGCAACGATTTTTCAAGATAAAATAAACCACAATGAGACACAAATACCAGTTATGCAGATGAAGCACTTTCGGCTTCAATCTCTTTACCAATAAGGAGGACGTCTTCCTCAACATCCGCTTGATAACCACGGCACCAATTTTGGGTGGTAACCAATGCCTCAACATTCTTTGGCAAAAGTTTACCCCTATATCCTCAAAAATAAAAAAGCATACATAAGAAAAGCTTAAACTTTTTCAAAAGTTTCCAATGAAATTATGAACCTATAAATAAACATGAGATGTTTATTTTACTAGCCCTAAACTAGCATTTATTTTATGCACATAACTGCAGAAAGTGACACAATTTGGTCTTTTGTTAGGTAAAAAAGCCAATAACCACATAATCTGAACAACCCATCATCATTACTTTTAAATCGAGCATAATAAACAACAAAACAGCACAAATATACCATTTTCCCGTAAAAAACAAAAATACAATCAACAACAGATTTTAGGCATATTTCGACTATATTCAAGCAAGAACAACAACAATAATCAATACAAAAACAGAAAAACTGTATTAAAAAAAACGAAAAGGAAAAAGTAATTACCTTTGACGGCTTGAAGGAGATTTGAAGATGGAGAACTGCCTGAACTGGAGATCAAAAGAAAAAATCAAGAATGTAGATTATCAGAACTTGAAATAAAAAAAAAAAACCGAAACGAAAACGAAAAAAATCGAAAAAATTAACAAAAAAATTACCTTGAGGTTTGACGGCTTGAAGGAGAGGAAGATTTGAAAAAAAAAAAAAAAACGAGAATGGAAAAGTTAGAAATCAGAACTTTGGATCCAAAATAAAAATGAAACGAAAACAAAAACCCTAAATAAAAAAAGTAAAAAACCGAAACGAAAACGAAAAAAATCAAAACGAAAACAACAAAAATTAACAAATAATTACCTTGAGGTTTGACGGCTTGAAGGAGAGGAAGATTTGGAAAAAAAAAACGAGAATGGAAAAGTCAGAAATCAGAACTTAGATCCAAAACAAAAATGAAACGAAAACAAAAACCCTAAATAAACAAACCGAAACAAAAACGAAAAAAATCAAAACGAAAACAACAAAAATTAACAAAAAATTACCTTGAGTTTTGAACTTTTGACGGCTTGAAGCCTTCAAATTGAAGGAGAGGAAGATTTGAAAAAACAAAAAAACGAGAATGTAAAGCGAGAAATCAGAAATGTAGATCCAAAACACAAATGAAACGAAAACAAAAACCCTAATTAGGATTTTTAAAAGTTGAGAAGTTGAGCTTGAGATTCTTGAAAATTTCAGAACGAAAGAGTGAGAAACTGAGAAGTTAGAGAGAGAAACTATGAGTGAGTAAAACGGCTGAATGGTTGATAGAGTGGGTTTTTTTTTCTAGGTTTAGGTTTTACTTGTTCAGTTGATCTAACCGTCCATATTCAATCTCAACATCTAACCGTTCATTTTTTTTTTTTTTTTGTAGATTCCAGAATATTCATCTAGATCTAACGGTCTAGATTTTTCTTTGTGCTTTTCTAGGTCTTTTTGACCGTTTTTTTTAATTATTTATTATTATTATTATTTTGAGGGATTATTATTATTATTATTGTTAGTATAATTATTTGTTAATATTATTATTATTACTAGTATACTACTACTATTATTATAGTATTATTATAATTATTATTATTATTTATTATTATTATTATTATTATTATTATTATTATTATTAGTTTATTACTTATAAGTTATAAATTGTAAGAAACGCAAATGTTTCAAAATTGAAATTGATTCAATACGACATAGTTAATGACTTAATGAGTTAATGCACATCAATATCTGACATCTCTATATGTATATTATATATATCTGTGAGTCTGTGACTGTATATCAGTATATATATATAATAAACTAATAATAACTTAATAAGTAATACTAATAACTAATAAAGTAATGAAAATCTAACCATTGTTTTTCATGGGCATTCAATCTAACCGTTGTATATTTGACTATTCGTACATTAGTATTGCATAATGATTTCATCACCACTTTAATTAGTGATTTCGTGATTTCGTCCATTTAACTTATTAAGTTGTTTGAGTTAATAATCTAAATAAAGTAACAACTAAATAACGAATCCATTTAATCTCGTGTAAGTTATAATTTATAAAAAATGCAATGTTTGGAAATGGAAATTGATTCAATACGATATTGTTAATGTATATGTAATTATAGATTAATTATTATGTATATCATATCGTACGAATGTACGGTTGGTATCATTATCATACTATCATAAGTATCATTGCCTCATTGAATTATTGGTATGTACTACAATCGATAAACATATTTACATATCTGATCATTAAAACTTAAAAGTTTAAAACACTTGTTGATCAATCTAATTGAATACTTGTACATTCTTAATTATCGATTTATCGTATTATAAGTATCAACTCATTAAATCATGGGCATGACGCGATCTTTAAAACAATCATGAATTCATGACCCAAACCGCTTATAACCGAACCGACATGATCCAAACCGTTCATAAACCGAACCAATTGAACTGTGTAAACCCTCCACTAAACCGACCCATTTCAAACTGAACCGACATGATTCGCACCGTTTATAAACCGAACCGATATTGACCCGGGTAAACCCGCCCCTAAACCGACCCATTTCAAACCAAACCGGCTTGATCCAAACCGTTTGTAAACCGAACTGACATTGACCCCGGTAAACCCGCCCCCTTAACCAACCCGTATCAAACCGAACCAACATAATCCGAATCGTTTATAAACCGACCCGCTTATGACCCAAACCGAATTTAAACCGCAAAGAAATAAACCGAAACCAAATCGAGCCGTGACTAACCCAAACCGAACCAAACCGACCCGCCAGCTAAACTAAACCGTTTCAATCCGAACCGCTTCAAACCGAAACCGACTCAAACCGAGGTTAAACCGAACCGTCAGACCGAAGTCCCACCCCTAGTAGCACTTAATATTAAAACTTATTAGAATTTATCTACAATTTTTGTAATAATAGATGCTTAAGTGTATGTTAATGATTTTTTTTTTTTTAACCCTGTTCACCCTTTGGGCTAATCCGGATTCGAGGATCAGTTTTGGGTGGTTAGGTTCCCGTCCTAGCTCTCCCGATTGTTGTTGTGGGGATCGAACACACGGGTTCTCCCTACCAAGTGTAGTCTCAATCGCCACTACACTAACAGTCAATTCACTCAATTGGTGTATGTTAATGAGTTTTTAGTTGGACGGAGTTAATTAGACTTTCAAAAACTAATAACTTATTTCATATTTTACATATAAAATTCTAAGAACTTAATATGTAACGAACATTGGGGGTGGTCAGCATGAACTTCACACGTAATATATAAATCGCCAACCATATACTCTTCAAACATGTACGGACAACCTGTAAAACCAGAAAAAATTAAATTCTTTTTTTTAAAAAAATAAAAAATAAACAGTCAAATACGAGTAGAAAAGTCAGAGGAGGGAGAATACGTAATTCAATGTTTCTAACAAGAAAATAAAAGACAAATGACAACGAAAGTCCAACTACTGAAGATTGAGACTGTGTCCAACATTTAAAAGATATTCCCTTTGATGAGTTTAGAAAATCATTGTCCGAATAAATGTTACAATTCTTTTATTTTTTTATTTTTTTTTTTATTTTTTTTTATCATCTTTTTAATCCCTTTATTACAAACTTTAAGTGGTTAATTGTCCGAATAAAAAGTTTTATCATCATTTTCTCCATAAAGCATTTGTTGATTTTATTCATCTAGTAGAAAGAATGGATTCCCAGAATCAGTAGTCACATACTCATATAAACTATTCTCCTTAGAAGCTGTCATGCTTTATGTCAAATCGTTGCACATAACCTGTAACGGAGGTAGTATAAACAACGTGACAACTAATGCGACATGGAGATCGAGTGGAGATCACAGTAACCATATCATTAGAACAAACAGTGAGAAACAGAATGTAACTGGTAATAACTAATAACACACGAAGAGATAGAGTGGCAAAATCTGATACTATAGGTGTGCAAATAGCACATTATATGATGATATACAATGCAATTTCTGTAACTAAATTATATATACCTTATACAATACCAGGCTCAAAAAATGGCCTAGGGGAAAAATAATTCAGGGCCTAAACAAAACTGGAACTAAAGCTAGAAATGGGTGACGGGCTGGCTCGAATATGTGATATGTCATGATCTATGCCTTCCAAATGTAATGCATAAACCAATCAATAATAATCTAAGACTATCAGGCACTCCCGTGGGAAACGAATTTACCAACGAATTGATAAGACTAGAAGCAAGGACAGTATGAGTGTGTTAGTCCAGAAGTTAAAATGAGATAAATTATGTCTCAAAGTTGATGATGCCGCGGAAATATGAGAACCATTTTGTTGTACGGCTTGAGGTTCAATGGAAGATATTGGAGGAACTGGATGGGGACTCTCAGGACTTATAGGCAGCATGCTTGACTCCAGTGCTTCGTTACCTGGAATTCGAATTTCGTTAATAATCACAGAGAAAGTAAGGTGCAGGAGCAAAAAAGAAAAGTTTGATAGTTTATGAGAGTTACTTACAGTTTGCTGCCTTCCATCCCAACACCATATTTTCACGATCAAATACTACACGATAGCCAGTCATGAAGTTTTCTGGAATCAAGGGGGAAAAATTTGATGAGTGAATTCTGGAACAATATCCAATAGCCATGCTAACATACTACTTCGTATATTCTAGCAGCAGAGCAATTTACAGAAAAAATGATATACTCACGGCCAATGATATTTACGTCTTCACTTTTGACAATTCCCAAGCAATATATGTCTCCAGTCTGAAGATAAAATGAAATATTTCAGTACAGCAGCAAAAGGTGGAAGTTTTAACATATTTGAGAAGAAAACTCACCATAACAGAAACTGTAACTGTAGGATCAGTAACATAAAATTTGTCTCCACCATCCATTGTCAAATTGATAGAAGGTATTTTTGGGCCGCTTTGGCTTGAACTGCAAATTTGAGTTTGGTCATTGCTTTGATATAAGCAGCAAAGGTAATAAAAAAGAAACACTTCAAAAAAGAAACACTAATACTCACCTCAAGTCGTAGCAGTACTTGAAAGGAATGTCTTCAGATTGAGAAGTGTCCCTTCTATCTTTTATGTGAGCATCAAACTGCGCAGAAAGACTTCTGAATACTTGCATTTAACAAGGAAATTACTTGCTCTCACGCAAATAACAAGGTTTTTAAGAACTTACTTGTTTAGCGATTAGTGAGTAAACTGGTTCATTTAGGTAAGTGAATGAAGTGCCAGTATCAAAAATTGCATAAAGACCATCGACGTGAGAGACTTTTGATCCCACGCTAATCTGCGATATGCTAACATTGTAATGCGGACTGGTAAGAGGTTAACAACGGAAGGTCAGAAGATATTACAAGAGGATGCTTAATCATCAAACCAAAGATTGTCAAGCTAAAAAATCCATAGATAGGGAACAACATACTTTATCTTTCTAAGGTTGAATGGCGTTTTACTTTGATCCGAGCTGCCCATATCACCAAATGTGATTCTCCCCAACCCAGTATCTCCAAAACACATGGAGAATGAATTTGCAGCAATTTTCTGACTTGATAACATACTGGGCACCGATATACTATCCAGACCAAGCCCAAGTAAACCATTGGGAGCTCCACCATCCAAAAATGAACCAGTCTCAACCTTGCCGCAACTGCAAATCAGTTCACCATACTCTTGTTAGAACTGAACTCCTTTTTTTTTTTTTTTTTGAAAAACAAAACTGAACTCCTTAAACAGAAACTAAATTTTGTTAAGCTTTTAAGCCCCTTAAAAAAGGGCAAGCCAGCTATTAAGTCCTTCATGGTACTTGAATTTTTGTTTTATGTTTTTTCTTACAAGCTTAATTTTAAACTCCATACTACATCAAGGAATCTTAAAAAATTAATTGAATTTTTAAAATGGATAACAGATTTGTCATATGCAGAAATTTAGAGCACCCTGAAGCTTAACCGAAAGTACACGAGTCTATTGGTTATAGAAATGCTATATGTGAATAATATTTTACTTGCTTCAGATATTTTGACCACCTACTATCTGATTATCTGCAGAAAAGAATACTCTTAACTTATAGATTAGTGATGTATCCTGAAAGATTATATATGCAACTTATTACCTACATTCTTCCAAAGCATACAACTACTAAGGCCTTTTACTGTAAATATCACAATTTTAAAGAATCAATTTATAGGTAGACCAACAGCTCGAAATTGACTTACCCAAAAGGAATTTTTGCATCAACAGGCTTAGAAGGATTATCATCTGCGGTAAGATGCAAAACATCCTCTACTAAGTATCCAGAAGAAGATGTATTAGAAGAGAGATACATGACTCTGTAGGGACACATGCTAGGTGAAAGTGGACAGGTGGTTTTATGTGCACACAGAGGACTGTTACAAGGAACTTTTGACCCCGAAGACGATGTATTGAGACTGTAGATGCTGAAGTCTAGCTGGTACACCAAAAAATTATATGTCAATATCGACAAGGTTATCTCCAAGAGCCACAATTGCAAGAGAAAGCGGCATCCCCTTGTCAAGCCATTTACAATGAAACATATTATTTAAAAAAAAAAAAAAAAAAAAAAAAAATGTAAAAGAAATAGAGGTACGTGGTTCCAATTACTTTAGGAATGTAAAATAAGCATGAAACACTTTCAGGGGCTTAAGTGATGTAATTGAAAAACTTGATTTCAAACTTATCTTACGAACATAAATTCCATCCCTGAGAATCCAGATATGATTTGGCACCTGATCTGTGGTCACTGTATATTAGATCAAAATAGGGAAACTAATCGGAAATAGCCAAATTCAACTCTTATTTCAAAGCACACTTTAGCTCATAACCTCTAAGGCTCTAACCTATAGTTTTTATACAAAGATTGACGGTCCAAGACTTCACTGTATTTAAAAATTTCCTATTTTTTACTGCAAGCTTCCGAATGCTAGTTGTTACAACCAAATGATATTCAAAGGCTCTCCCTGCACTATCAATATTAAAAAAAGAATGACAAAAGAAATACCTCAACAAACAAAGATGGCTTAAGATAGACTTGTTGAACTACCTAAAGGGATACCTCAACCACTAATGACTAAGCTAGTAAACCATGCATTATATAGAATATTCTTCCCTTTTTTTTTCTCCTCCATTTAAGAACTATATTAATGTTTACTTTATATGGAAACTCCGCATATCTAGTGCTATACATGTTGATATTGATGTGCCATATAATTAAAGGACTATAAAGCAATTAGCTTTTCAATTATTCATAGTATATATTTTAATAAAAGATACACAAATAATAAAACTAAACCAACATTCTCTTAGTCTTCTTTTATAAGAAAAAAAAAAAGATACCACTTTGATTTAATCATACATTAAAGAAGTCCAAGCAAACATTAAAATATGATAAATGGTATAATTATATAATTTTTAAACATAACATTATAGGACAACAAATTTAATACTACCTCATCAGAGTTAAGTTTGACTCCCTTGACACACTTAATACAGTCACAAGGTAGCCAAAACAGGTCACTTCCGGTGTCTAACGCCACCAGAAACGATGACCCCGGTGTCCCCACCGTTACATTTGCATAATGCAAGCTGCAATAAACGCATTTAGACTATTAATAGGAGTTTTTTTTTTTTTTTTTTTCTTTTTTAAGTAAGTCAAATCCTTCCACTCCCCAAAAGAAGAGAAAAACATCTAGTACCCCTTAATTGTTAAAAAGATAAAAAGTTTTTTTTGTTAATGAGTATAATTATAAGCATCCTATGCTAAAAAATAAGCATTTACTAGTACATAAAAAGTTCACTATAATAATCCAACTTTTTCGCATCAAAAAAAAAGTCTTTTTCCCCGTTATCATCCTACAAATTTCCCGCAATTTCGCACCAAAAAAATCCAGGTACATGAAAAAATATATATAGATTTAATTAACCCCCCTTTGATATAAAATACAACAACGTTTATAAAACCATGCATGTCAACACGTGTCAACTAGTTTAGATGGTTAATGTCCAAACCCGAATATACCATACCATTCTTTTACATACGAGTTATTTTTTACAAAAAAACTTTGTTTATTCATTGAAGTACATAATAACCGCTTAACGGTAAAGTACTACTAAAGGAACTTTGGGCCGTTTGGTACATACTAAAACGGGCCGGGTTGACTTATACGGGTTTTATTTGGTAAAGACATTCTCTTTGCTAAATTTTAAAAGGTGATTATAAAAGGAAAAATTAAAACTTACGAAGTAATTATGAAAATGAAATTAGGATTAAAAAGCATCAAACTTTACATTAAAAATTGGAAATTCATTAATCTAGATGAACTTTACTTCACTATAACTTAATAATAATACAAAATTCAGGTATTTAAATAGTAAATTTAATTCGTAATCAAAATTAAATTCAATTCATTCGACTAATTTACTAGAATAATAATTGAGGAGAGAGAAAAAGAGCTTACAATCCGAAGAAGCTGATGCGATAAGTAGTGTTACCGGAGGAGAAGGTAAGAGGAGTACGAGAGTCACCGGAAGTAGACGACAACCGGCGGTCATGAACGGCGAGATCACGGTGAGCTAAAGCGGCGAAGTAACCGGGTGAGCCCTTTACCGGTAACTTATCACCGGCGTCGAGAATCCGATTAACTGGATCCGAGAATCTATGGTGGAGTTCAAACCCGAATGTGTGGTAAGCTTGGGTGGGCCAACAAGCCCAGCCCAAGAAAAGAACAAATAGTAGAACAACATGTGTGTAAGTTTGGATATTTTTGGGTTTAATATTATTATTATTATTATTCATACTTTAATTTTGTAAGTTTTGGGTAAATTGGAGAGAGAAAAATTAAGCATAAAAAAGAAAGACAAGAAAATGGAGAAGGAAGAAGAGGGTACAAGGTTTGGTGGTTAATTATAGTGTAAGGACTAAGAGTGGTGGGACATGTACCCAAAAAAGAAGCCACCTTCCACCTCCCTTTGAATATGGAGGACTTACTATTGGGAATTTTTATTAATTAATCCGCATGACGAGTGAAGAACTTAGGGTCTGTTCTGATTTACTGAATTGATTGGAGCTACACTGAACTAAAATAAATTGTTTATAAGAGAAGAAAATTAAGAAATGAATTGATATACATTAAATTGAACTGAAATTAAGCTGATGAGAACAGACCCATAGTGATGTTTTAGTGAACTAATAGTTTAATACATTCAATATATATGGGTTTTGCACTTTTGCTCCTTGTAAAGGTCGGAAACTTTTGACAAAGGAATTACGTTTTATGATGCCAAAATGACGTGATTAAGTAAAAAAAAAAAAAAAAAAAACTTTCTCATTAAGCTGAAGTAAGTGGATTAAAAGTTTGAAAAGCTTGATGTCAAACTAAGGACACTTGGATTGATCTAATATCTAAACAAGGAGTACAGCACTTACGTGCAAGCTAGGTAGACGATAAACATACCAAAGAGTACTTCGTATAAAGTTTTTAGAGGTGGAGAATATTATTCGGATTATAATATCATTTGGCTCAATAAAAAAAATACTCCGTATATGGGAAAGAAGTATATG